CGAGGCTATTTTGCATATAAGTCGAAATTTTTTAACTGTGGCGATTTTTTAACGAAAAATGACAGAAAAATAGCTGTTTCTGTCGTTTTTGGCCCAAAAAAACAGTGTAACTGTTATTTAAAACAAAATAGCCTCGGACAAAAATAATAAATAGGGGGTTGGCTTTCTACTTGTAAAATATCATGATGAAAGGTGTTGTTACCGCTTGGGCGTAAAGCCATGAAGTAAACAGCTTTTTTTTAACCAAAATGTTGATTTTTAACCCAAAAATTCAGAAGTAGTAAAAACAAAATAACCTTTACTCAATGTGTTTCAAGTACTACTAGAACTGTGTAAAGTTAAGTTGTGGTGCGACCAAGCTATCAAAAGTTACAGCCATATGTATGAAATACTAATCATAGTTGGCCATAGGCTGCCTTAACCCAACCGAGTGATGGCAGTGTTCTAGCCAGCATCCATCTTTCCGTCATTAGACAGAAGTTTGCTGCTCATGATGGACAAAAATTTTGCAAAAATTTTTGGCAGCCATAAATCAGCATGTAAAAAGCATATACAAAGAGATGTCATTAGCCAAGAGTAAACGTAGTTTACCAGCAAAATTTGCCCTGCAAAATGCAGGAAATAGCATTTTAGGGGGTCAACAAGATTAAGGAATAGAATTTTCAAACACAAGGGTATCGAAATAAAGGAATAAAGAGAAAAGAAAACTAGGTATTGTGTGGCCTAATAGTGGGGCATTCAGCCTGGAACCGATTGGTCCTGGGTACATGTACTACATGCTTCGACATTGTGCTCTTAAGAAAGACACTTTACACAACTTTCCTCACTCCCCTCAGTTGAAAATGAGTACCTATACAGTCATGTAGCTTCGATTAGGGATGTCCCCAAGATAGGACATAAAATGGAGGTCCCATTTTTAGGGTGAACCACACCCTCATGCATTTTAAAGAACCCACCACATTTGAAAAAGAGTAGGGCCATGCCCCAGTGTAAAATGGTACAAATTATACAGTCAGGATGATCAGTATGAAAGAAAAGGAAAGGAAATCAACAACTATTACTTCAATTTTTTTGCTTATGTTTGTACTTCAGTTAAACCTCTGTTAACTTATTTTTTAACATTATCATTTCTAATTAACGTTATTTACCAATTACTTATTTATTGTTACTATTTGATTTGTAACCGTTATATTGATCAAATTTTTCAATTACTTATTGTTATTTATTATTACCATTTGATTTGTTACCATTATTACAGTTGTCAATTAATTTAGTCGGGGGAAGATCACGGACAAGCCATTATGGCTTTTTGTCTTTCCCCTGCATATCCTATTTTACTGTAATATGTTCATTTTATTGTTCTTCTCTTTGATTATATGTGAATAAATAAACAAACAAACTCTCACCGACACACTGGTTCCAGTAGTAGTGTTGTACGAACCCGGGCGGGCAGCCACAGCGGAAGCCACCGACGGTGTTCTGACAGCCAGACTGGCACCTGTGGGTCCCATCACACTCGTTCACGTCTGAAATAGACAGGTTCAGGGTCATACAAAACATTCAAAGGGGAGAGGAAGGCCGAAAGGATGTGTTGCACCAGGGCTCTAGCCAGTGCAATTTTTTCCCCCTCAGGCCACACCAATTTAATTTCTTGGTTAACGAATTTTTATAGAAAGATAATGGAGCGGGCGGGCGAAAAAATAAAAATAAAAACAGGCCTGGGCATCCTATTATGACCCAAAATGGTACGATGGGAGCCATGAAGTCAACACGCCATGCTGGTTCAAAATTTAAACATTGAATTTTGAACTTTTAATGATACCATTGCATTGAAAGATGGAAACACTGTAACAACTAGGAAGAGAAAGACTGTTTTCAACTGTTCAGGGCAAAATATGAGCATTTTGCAGTTGATTCTGAATTTTTATTTTTATTTGCAAATCAGAAAAAAATGAAGTGGGTGAATCCGTTAACCAAGAAATTAAATTGGTGTGGCCTCAGTCCAAGTTCATGGGGGGGGGGAGAGTGCTTGCAATCTGGGGGGGGGGTGTCTGGGGGCAAATTCTGGATTTTCAAGCCTTTAAACACGCAATTCTCACATTTCAAGAGGGGTTGAGAGTGGTTGTTGTTGATCCTTTGGATGTTTGAAAATGTTTCCGATTTTCGGTCAATTCTGTCAGTCAAGGTTGACAGAATGGTTTAAAAAATTTTTCCGTCACACGCCACAAAGTTACGGCAATGGACCTATCACATTATTACGTCACAGTTTGTTTACCTGTTCTAAAGAACATGCTAGAACGGTCAGTTAAAGAATAAAGATCATTCCAAAGTTTTCAAAGTCAGGTATGTTTGATTTTTGTTGCGTCTAGTTGTGTTGACACAGCATTACATGCTGTAATGGGTGATTTAGTTTTGACATTAGACGAAAGTAGTACTGTATAAAGACCTTATATTAAGGCCGCGCTACGCACCCCTGTACAATATAAATGTCAATTGACCGACATTCATTGCGGTAAACAAACTGGTCCTTTGACGGAAAACCGGGTGCTGACTAGAGCCCTCATATAAACATCCTGTAGACCTTATGCCCTCCCCCAGGTGGAGTGGAGCAGGTATTATTTACACCACCTGTTACACTTACAGTCAAGGTTATGCACATCAAATACACAGTGAGTGTTACAGAATGATGTAAACACCAATGTTGGAATACAAGTATAGATGCAATTCTGTCCAATGTCAGTACAGCAATTTAGTTGCCATGCCTTTGCAGTAGCATAACACAAAGTCAATGCTTCATTCAAGATGCAGCTGCACAAACTAAAAACATGATCATGTTATAACATGTTAAACATTCACTGTGTGACATATCTACATGTAATTATGCAGCAAGGACGTTATCAAAATTTTTGTTTCAAAATGCAAAGTGTGTGAGTATGTTTTTACTATAATATTAATATTATTCTTCCTTCATTCAGGCTTTACAAGTGTGTTGTGGTGTTATTGAAAAGCTTTGCTTGCAATTTGCCAATTTAAAATCTTTTTAATGACTGGCATTAGTGTAAAAGTCAGTACAGTAGTGCCATGTTGATTTTAATAAAGTTTGATTTGAAAGCATCATACATTGTACTTATAGAATTTAGTAGTGTCAAAAACCTTTTTAGTTAGTCCCTTTGGACACAAAACATGACAAAGCAACAATAGTGAATTACAATGTTAAGCACTTTCTCTGTGCAGCATGAACACACACTCAACAGGTTTTAAACAACAAAAAAGCACAATAACATGTCTGTAACAAAACAACAAGATGTGTGTGCGTGTGTACTGCATGTGTGTGTGTTATGCAAAAGGGGGGAAGCACTGCGACTCATGCAGTTAGCCTTACTCACTTGCTGACACGGACATACCCTGACATTGTTGTGTGTCTGGGTCAATACTGAAGCCCTGTGAACACTGGCACTGGTACGAGCCCTCCATGTTCTGGCACTGCCCGTTAACTCCACACAGCCCGGCCTGGGTGTTACACTCATTCACATCTGCAGGTGGGGTGCAGTAAGGTTTATAGAATAGGTATCATGATAGCGATTTCATGTATGTCTAATTGTAAAGAAGGAAGGAGAGGAGATTGTCGCCGCCTTCCAATACCGTGGCAGCACGTCGGCAGAACGTACTGCGCCTGCGCAGAACCCTGTATTTTCGCGTTTTTCGTTGGGTTTTTGGTCAACGTTGCATCAGAATTTTTCCTGTTGCAGAGGAAATTCTTTCCGACATAACATTTGGAAACTACGGTCGAAATGCTAACCTTATATGAGCGAATATAACCTTATATGAGACATTCTGCCGAAATGTACAATACATTACGGGTTTCGCACAGGTGCAGCACGTTCTGCCGACGTGCTTACCATGCCCAGAGAAACAGTGGGTTAATAATCCACTGCCCCTATGGACCCTGCGTCCTAAAAAAGCACTACGGGACTACCTTTACCTTACCTTTACCTAATTGTAAACTCTAAGATAGTAGTGAAGCACTTTGTAGGGCTCTGCGCTTTTTTCATGTCATCTATGATATTCTATGTTTCATCAGAAAACATTGTCCATTAGGTATTGAAATGTCATTTCACATAATATTAAGTATAATTTGTATTTTACTGGATCTTCCAATCATTGTACTTGAACATTACCAGCAGCCAGCACCATACAGTTGACCTAATTTCTCTAAATGCTCAACTGTGTCTTTCTTGTTTCTTGACTTCACACTCTACCAAAAATGCTTTTTTTCTCATTTTTCTTGTTTTCCTTGTACAAAGAAAATGTACCTTGTAGCAAGAAAATTATTCTTTGAACAAGATATCAAAGAATCCCCGTAGCAAGAAAATTCAAGAACCCCACTGTTAGTGTTACACTACTCCCCCTTTTCTTATTTAGATTCGTCCTTGAATCTCTGAGGTGGATATCCCTGTGCAGCACAGTTTGCTATTATAATTGCTCTCAGGGCCGGCATGGGAACCTGTGAAACATTAGTTGCGAGACGTCGAAACAGGAAAACCCGACTCCCGGGACGCCAGGAATTACCCCCCGTTTAATCCCTGCAGGTACATGTAACCGTTAGGCCAAAAGGTCCAGGACCCGCCAGACGAGTCATCAGTTGATAGCACTTAAAACCAAGTTTGGAAGTTGTACGGCTGTGAAGCAGTACGGCTGTGAAGCATAGACTGTGACTCCCAAACTGGAAAAACAACTGGATGGCTGCTACACAAGGATGCTGAGGCGTGTCCATAATGTACATTGGGAACAACATCTGACAAAGAGCTCTATGCTGGTCTCCCAAAACTGACGACAAAAATACGAGCTAGGCGACTGCAGTTTGCTGGCCATACACTGAGGAACTGCAGGGAAATAGCCTCGAACCTTGTCCTGTGGTCCCCAGCACATGGGAGAAGGAGGCCGGGAAGACCACCCATCACTTACCCAGATGTGCTGCGAAAGGACGTTGGCCTTCAGGCTCAAGATATGGGAAAGGCGATGCAGGACAGAGACTACTGGGCAGCCATGGTGGTTCGGGTGGCATAGGAGGACTGGCACCCGACTTAAGTCAAGTAAGTCAAGTCAAGGAAGTTGTTCCTTACCCACACAGGTGAGGTGAATCTGGTTGAAGCCAGGTGGACACTGGCAGGTGAACCCTCCCACCAGGTTCACACAGATGTACTGACAGTTGTCTCCCTTGGCCTCACACTCATCCAGGTCTGCGGAATATTATAAAATGTAAAGGCCATGTTATATACAATGGATTTAGTCCTATAGCTACAATGTACAAAGCAATATACTTCACAATGTAACTGGCCCTGAAATAGGTTTTCCCCTATAATTCCAAATGTATCAATTGACATTAATTTTGTCCCACCTCACTTTTTATTAAATGCGTCAACAGAAAGACAACTACCCAGTCATACAATGTAGTGTAACAAAACGTAGGAAGACCAACAACATCAAGGTACATTTTGCAGCATTCATCTGGTATATTTTCCCGAATTTCCTCTTGGAATTCACCGTAACTTTATTTTAAGATTGTGAAGCATGCACCTGTTGGCTTAAGAAAAGCCTCGGTCACAACCCGCCGTACGTGCTTTTTGTCCGTACATTTTGGGAGGCTACGTCTGCTACGTTTTTTCTGAAAATGTGAGGAAGGAGTGGCATCGATGCACGTCACTCGCACGGTGTAAGAGTGTGGTCTGCATGCCACGTCTGGCCGTGAGCGGTTGCGTGCATTTGCAGTGCGATTGCAACTTTACCGTAAGGAGGTCGCACTCACACGTGCGTCTTACGTACGGTACGTACGGGGCACGCGCGTTGCCCGCACTCGCACGCACGGGTGGTGAATCCACAGACCGCACGTAAAGAAACGTTTTACATGCACTTAAAGTTCTACGGCGTGTCTGCGTGCTCCCAAATCCGTAGGATTCCGTACGGAGGTGGTACTCACCACGCACGGATGCCCTACGTTGCCCACGTCTTTGCACGTAGACAGCATACAGAAGCACGTACGGCGGGTTGTGACCAAGGCTAAAGGGATTTGCTAACCTTGACAAGTCTTGCCATCTGCATTCAGGATATAGCCTTTAGGACAGGTGCACAGATAGCTGCCCTCCGTGTTCTTACAGGTGAAGGAACAAGGTTTGTCCTCCTCACACTCATCAATATCTGTGGAGAAGACACAAATTAAGTTACCTAAGACTCAGCAGTATGATAAATACACAGCATTTTCATGATGGATATAGCAAAAGTCAACAAACCCTCTTGTGCATTATACAATCATTGAAATCATTCCATGTAAAAGACAGTCCACCTCAACAGCATGGATCTGCTTGGAGAAAATAACAACTTAAGCAGCAGCTAAGAATACAGTCATTCATTGGTAACCTGACTTGAAGCAAGGCATAATTCATTGATTCTTACTCTTGTCAATGCTAATCTGCATCTCTGTCATTTTTACTTGACTTCACAAAAATAATGTACAGTACAAGAAAGTTAGCAGTGAAACTGGCAAGAGAAACTGACAACCTTTCTCTTTGAGAAGCTGACAGATGAGTTTGGACCGTACTAACCTACACATTCTTGCCCACTGTAGTCTTCTATGTATCCCTCTTCACACATGCACTTGTAGGATCCCAGGGTGTTGACACATTTCCCGTTCTCACACAGGTTTGGTCGGACCTTACATTCATCAATGTCTGCAAAAGAAAAAAGAAGTGCTATTTTAACTACACTGTCATGTACAACTAAAAGTTTTACTGACATTACAATATCAATACATACTGACTAAGATGATAAACCTACAGTGGGTGTCACTGGAAGACAGAAGAAAGATGTCAAGATGTACAATGCCTGATGTACAAAAAGAACGTCCCAATCACTAAGTACCTAATACCAGCCCAGAAGAGATCTGAACAAGAAATAGCCACGCCTTCAAGTACCTGAGAGTTATCAACCAAGGATTGAGGTGTTCAAGAATTCATTCTTTCCTAGAACTATCGCAGAGTGGAACTCGCTGTCACCAAGTACAGTAGGGGCATTGTCATTAGATAGCTTTAAACAGTGCCTAGAGTTAGATGTTCAAGGGTTTAGGTGTAACAAGTCGATCGGTGTAATGTAGCCAGCTGCCGCCACGCTGCGTGCCGGCGAAAGGCGGTTATACTGGCTATACAGAATACAGATACGGAAATACTTTGTCGTGTTCATTGTAGAATGGAACTGTGCTTCCTTTACAATATAAATCACATATTGTCTGACATTTATAACAATGTTGCACAATCAAACCTCACCTTGACCATCTGGGGTAAAGCCAGGGCCATGTGGGCAGGTGTCGCTGAATTCAACTAAAACAGTATGGAGAAAAAAAGGATCTGTTGTTTAAATATGTAACTACCAACACATAAAAATGATTATGATCTGTTGTTTGGTTTGAAATAGCAGAATAACAAACGAAAGTATTAATTTAACAGTTTCGGGCCCAGTTCATGTAAAAACTTGAAATTTAAAGCATACAATGCCATGTAACGTTACATCTGAATTGTATACATGGAATAATGACAAGCAATGCCATTGGTGAACTTCTACATAAAATCTGTTACATATAGATTCTACAAGACTTTCATGTAAGTATCTAAATCTACTTTAAAAGATGCATCTTTTGTTATCAAGTTCACACACTACCAAAAATGCTTTTTCTTATTTTTTTATGGTAAGAAAATGTTTTCTTTGGGGGAGAATAATAAGAAAAAAATAAGGAAAAAAATAATTACTTCTAATGTTTATACCTACTTTCTTGCACCAAGAACAATTTTCTCATTTTTCTTAAGTGGAGATTATTTTTCTAGTATAGGCTTCAGAATCTTTAAATTTTGATTTTTCTTCATTAAAGAAATATTTTCTAGAGGAGATTCTAACTTACAAGATTAGAATTCTTGTAATCTTAAAATTTCTTCAGTAAAGACAATATTTCTAGGGAAGATTCTAAGTAACAAGACTAGAATTCTTTTATCTTAAAATTCCTTCTTATACAATCTCCATGTAAGATTTCTTTCTTACCTGACATCAAAGTGGTCACATTTAAGTTTTTGTTTCTTGCATATGTCAAACACTTTCTTGTTAATGTTAGGCATTTAACACTTTCTTGTTAATGTTAGTACAATCGACTATGTAGTCGATTGTACGTTATATAGCAACGAGAGAGATTCCCTATATTCTTATATACTAGATAAGTTCCCCAGCTTTGGACATTTAAATGAAGTAGAAAAATTCAGATTTATTATGAAACTTGACAAATCATGTATTAATGGTTCCATATGCTCGTACATCCATAACTGCGTCAAGAAGTGAGAAGAAGTTGAACATATAAATAGTAGATCATATTAGTATGTATAGTTTAAGTGCAACTGCTGTATCCTTTTTCCCTGTTTATCCATGACCTGTACTTAGCTTGTTAGAGCACAAACGTACAATAAAGGTCTTCATTCAATTAACAGAGGGTGTCCACTGACCTGATCCCTTGCGTGGACAAGGTTCACAGTCACTGCCCCACGCCCCTCCTCCGTCACAGCAACACTCGGCCTTGGTGACGGTATCCGGGCCCTGGAACTCCCGCAGACACAGCCGGCTGTGGCTGGTGTAACAGTAGCCCTGCCGCCGGTCTGGGGTGAAGGAAGGCTGTTAGTCAGCAGTAGTCTCAAATAGCTTGGAGCATGATGAAGATTGGTAAATGTAGGGCTCAAAATACTGGGTGCATATATATTATACGTATGTATGACCCTTAGTGCAAGTAAAATTGGGGCTGTGCAGGTACATTGTATTTCTGATGTCTACCTGCACCTTAGATATATTAGGTTTTATACTCCACTGAACACAGAAATCAAATCCAAGAATACATTGTAGCTACAGAACTGTATACATGTATCAAAAGTAGCATTTAGTTGTATTATTTATGCTCATTTTAATAATTGTTTATTATCCATTTTTTATATGTATTATGTCCTTGCAGTTAGCCAGGCATGAATTTGCAATAGACTTTCCCATATATTATGTAGTACATGTACACAATGTAGGTGTATGTGGATTTTTTGCTGTATTGACTGTTACCTTCTATGAAGTATAAATAATGGCCCAGGTTGCTGCACAATTTTCAGTCGAGAATGTGGCCAAATAAAGCCACAGCCAAGATGGCGCCATTCTCTATATCGCGCAGGCGCACTTTCCATGACCCCGAAGTTTGACCCCAAAACTAATATGGCCGCCAGCCGACCGAAAACCCGGAAGTAGTCCGGCTTCGACGATGAAGATTTATAGAATTCAGTTTGCGTTTGTCTTTGGCACTTACTGTGTCCCGGTCTTTGTGTTACGCTGGTTATCGTACTTATGGAAAGAGATCATTTAGTAGTAGATTTTTTAGTAGTATCATGATCCATACTTCAGTCTCAAAGTCTGAGTGGCGAACTCAAGATAAAATTGGTAATTTTCAACTTGCATTGGCAGTAAAAAGAATATAATATTTGTCTCACCATAGCACTGTTTCCCATCCAGAGACACTTCGTAGCCATCAAAACAGTCACATCTGAACCCACCCCTGGTGTTGACACAGATACCGTTCTCACATCTTCCACCAAGAGTGCATTCATCAATATCTGTGGATAGTTGACAGGATATTAACTCTATTAAACATCATCAACTTTATTGCTCAACAACTGTAGCTGGTAACAATGTATGGCAAAGAAACAGCAATGGTACATACACAAACTAATACTAAAATATGATTCTAACGAGCTAGTCCATAATGATACTAAAGCTAATCTATTGTGTTTTCTTACTAATAGGAAGAGTATTATTACATTCTGTAATTCAGGGGGATATCAGCTATTTACAATATGGTGTCACTTTTGTAGTGATTCAAATATGAATTTTCCAACGTACACTGATATCTGAGTAGGAAATGAAAGGAGCATATTAAAGATCTGATTTTGAGTGAGGTAGTGTAACATTAGTTTTGGAAGCTGGATTGCATCAACTTTTGTCTGTTTTCTTCATATGTAGGACATGACATCATAAAGTGGAATTCGTCTTCAATACCCTCCTTACATGTTCATGTCGGGATATTTGAAATACAGCCTCAAAATCTGAAACCATCTAACTTTGTCTAACTTTTGTCTCCTATTGGTCTATCAAAAATTTCTGTTCACTCATTTGCATATCAATCAATAGGTCATGCTTATAAACCTGCTTTTTTGAGATTTCCCCAGTGTCACTGACAAAAGCACAGCACGAAAACAGATATTTAAGCAAACTTTCCGCAATATGTAAAGAGGTATTAAAGGTGAAAAAATATTTAAGTTGACTTTACGCTTCGTAAAGGTTGCTGAAAGGTAAATTCCGCCTTTCCGTCACCTTTCAATGGGCTTAAATACGACGTAAATATTTACAGACATTTAAGCAAACTTTCCGCAATACGTAAATAAGTATTAAAGGTGGGAAAATATTTCAGTTGACTTTACGACTTCGTAAAGGCCACTGAAAGACAAAGTCCGCCTTTCCATCACCTTTCAGCGCGCTTTAATACGACGTAAATATATACAGACATTTAAGCAAACTTTCCGCATATGTATAGAAGTATTAAAGGTGGGAAAATATTTCAGTTGACTTTACGACTTCGTAAAGGCCACTGAAAGACAAATGTTCCGTTTCGTAGCTTTTTTTTAACGTCTAACCATGTTCCAGTGGCAAATAGATAAACGAGTTTATCGCCCAGCCGGCTTCGCACTTTCATTTTGCTTTATTTGTGAAGCATGACAAAACTTACATTGATTTTATGTCCTTCGCGTGAACCTACAAAATATCCATATGCAGACACCCAATGAGGAACGTGTCATGTGATAGGGCGGTACCCAATGGGATACAACACAGCGAGGTTCAAATCTACCGGACTCAACTTATTTTT